TCTATTTCAATTGTACGCTCGTTTCTAAATAAAATCCCACATAATCATATGCATTCTTCTTGTTGTTTAAAACCGCTGGTTCCTTGGTTGATAGCAACTTGTTAAATTCCTCATCGTTAATTCCATAAAATTTGTAATTCATTGATAAATAAAAAGAATTAAAAATAAAGTTTGACACAATGTTAGCAAGTATCTGTTCAGTCTGTGTGAGGATTAAGTGAACAGATGAGAACAGTATGAAAAAGAATTTACTTTTACGACCGGATGAAGGAAAGAGATTATTTTTCGTAAAAGTTTAATAAGGTATAAGAGTAAGCAGGAGGGATTAATTAGGATGCCGGTGTAATGAATTTTCAGGGCAATAAGACCGCTCGCTATCGGTTGATCATCGTCGAAATTTAATCGAGGGAATTAATAAACCGGTTCCAATGGGTTGTCCAAGGAATCGATGATTAAACAGTGTGACTGCGTCGATCGATCTTCTTATCATCGACAGTACGATGTGTGGTCTTTTCATATTAACAAATTTTAATGATCCTACCCACACTCAGTGAAGAATGTAATAAAACATGCGATGCACTTTTTTTTTTATTGCATTTAATTTTATTTTTATTCCATTTTTTAGAATAGATTGTATTTTCTAAAACTGTTTTTCTTATAAAAATACACAGTATAGTCATTTCGGTTGTGAGAAGGAAGAGCAGAGAAACGACAGCGTGGTTATTGAAGATTATGATAAAGCTCATTAATTGATATTTTATGCGACGGTGAGCTCCCAACGAGCAGCCATTCGCGCGATGCCGAAGGCTGCATAACGAGCTTCATGTGCATGCGTAACTGCTATAATTTCACCTGGCCAATGATGAGCAACGGAATCCAATAAACCATCGGAGACGATCAAATTTTAATGGAAGGTTGCGTCGTTGTGGTCTACCTACTGACGACCAATCAAAATTCACGACGTTTCACCATGTTTCGTTGATAAGATAACACACTTGTATAGGTGAGAAAACTGCTCCTGATAGATTGAACGAGAACATAAAAGCCATAATAGTGTGAGTCACTTTTTGGCCAATTTCTGACTTGCGTTGCTTTCTTTAACACTAGATTAGCCAAGGAAGTAATTTTGA